CTGGCCAGCGGGTGCTCCCGAGGGGCGCAGGCGCGACGGAGCGACAGAAGCGACGGAGCCCCTCCCAGCAGAGCTCACTCGATCGCTCACGCTCGCGTCTGGGGAGACCACCCGCGGTGTCCAGAGACAGCTTGAGGAACCCACGAGCCCAGTGAGGAGCTCGAGCCAACTGATATTTGGGCACGTCTTCCATACGCGTGCCGCTCCACACTATGGTATGAATACTCCGTGCTATGCTGTCGTCTGTGCTGCGCGTCCCTTCCCAATGTTGTGATATGTGTATTATGGTGTGTTGCAATATGGCTTACACTTATCAGATTCCTCCTCCTCTTCCTCCTCCTCGTCCTCCTCCTCCTCCCCCGCCTCCCCGCCTCCTCCTCCTCTTCCTCCTCCTCCTCCTCCTCCTCCCCTTGCTCCCCCTCGATCCTCTTCCTCCTTCTGCCTCCCCCCCTTTACTTCATCCCCTCTCCTCTACCGATCCCTCTCTTCCCGCCACTCTTCCTCCTTCTCCTGCCTCCCCTCGTCCTCCAAGCCCCCTTCTCCACCTCATCTCTTCTAATCCTCACTCACTTGCTCCCTCCTCCCCCCCGCTCCTCCTCTACCAGCTGTGTTGAACAAATCCGCCGTTCGCCTGTTCGATACCTTGGCATCTACACGCATGAACATACATTCCAAACGCACGCGTGCCAGACGCATGCTCGATACCTCTCCTTTCTGGGAGCGCATTTTTATGTCTGAGGAATCCTCCTGCCGCATGTTCGACCCCCCCCTTGGCGCCACCAGTGAGACAACGTACCAAAAACGCGCGTGCCAGGCGAACGTTGTTCGTCACCACCACCAACAACAACACCACCACCACCACCACCACCACCACCACCACCACTGCCCCCACCACGCCCACGACTCTCTGCGCACGCAATTTCGCGTGCGAATAATCCGACGCCCCCTTGAAGACACCCTTCTGATCCAGGACCAAGCGCCCGACGGACAAAGAACACCCCTTGCTGGAGCCCAGACCTGGAAACTTGAGGGATCCACAAGCCCAGTGGGAAAGTCAATATGATATCATCATGGCGTGCCTGCTAAACGTTCGTGTTGCCACGCTACCGTGCGCTATTCAATGCTATGCCGGGCGTTTTTGGGCGGTGTGCTGTGATACGCCGTACAGGGCGGACCGCGCGTTTCTCATGAGAGTTCGTCGTCATTACCACCGTTATCCGGTATCGCAGGGCCTCCCAAACGCGCGCACGCGCCAGACGCACGTGGGCTACCCCTGCGCGCTCACAACTCTACACATAAACAACCAGGCGACCACACGTTGGAGATTCCCCAAGCAGAATTTGCCTCTGTAAGGGTCCTGGCGGATTCATATGGGTAGGTTCGGTTTGCCGCCGATTTTCACCGCACGCCCGGGCACCCGGGTGCCCAGGGGTGCCCGGGGGGTGCCCAAGGGTGCCCGGGTGCCTGGGTGCCCGGGTGCCCGGGCGTGCCCGGGCGTGCCCGGGTGTGCCTGGGGGTGCCCTTATAGCCCTATAGCCCTGTAGCCCTATAGCCCTATAGCTCAATAGCCCTATAACCCTACAGCTCAATAGCCCTACAGCTCTATAGCCCTACAGCTCAATAGCCCCCTAGCCCTATAGCCCTGAGTGGGTTTTTCTGTGGTATCATGGATACCCCCATTGGCGCCTGCACATGTGATACCAACTCCCGAATGCGCACGTGCCAGACGCATGCCCTCCGCGCGCGCACGTCAGAATGAGGGGGCCGACCGGCCATTCACTGTCCCCGGGTGCGTGGCTGAAGTGGGATTCCGCGGTGCGGATTCTCGTTGTTGTTGGTTGTTGTTTGTTGTCGTCGTCCCACCCGCAACCCGCCCCGCGACCCACCCGCGACCCACCCCGCGACCCACCCCGCGACCCACCCGCGACCCACCCCGCGACCCACCCCGCGACCCACCCGCGACCCACCCGCGACCCCCGCGACCCACCCCGCGACCCACCCCGCGACCCACCCCGCGACCCACCCGCGACCCACCCGCGACCCACCCCGCGACCCACCCGCGACCCACCCGCGCGACCCACCCGCGACCCACCCGCGACCCACCCCGCGACCCACCCCCGACCCACCCGCGACCCACCCGTGACCCACCCCGCGACCCGCCCGCGGCCCACCCCGCGACCCACCCGCGACCCACCCGCGACCCACCCGCGACCCACCCGCGACCCGCCCCGCGACCCACCCGCGACCCACGTTCGACCAAAATCACGTTCAAGGTACAAACCGCAATTTTCGGTGCCTGCGGCGTTTTTGTTCGGCATTCCTTCCAGGTGGAGAGCCCGCGACCCACCCCGCGACCCGAACCACGTTCAGGATACAAACCACATTTTTTCGGCGCCTGCGGCGGGCATCTTTTGCATTCGCTTCAGGTGGAGAGCCCGCGGCCCACCCGCGACCACGTTCAGGGTGCAAACCAATTGTTTCGGCGCCTGCGGCGGGCATACAAACAAATTGTTTCGGCGCCTGCGGCGGGCTGCTTTTGCATTCCTTCCAAGTGGAGGTGGAGAGCCCGCGACCCACCCGCGACCTAAACCACGTTCACTGAACAAACCACTGCCGCACAAGCGCGGCGGCGTTTTTTTGCATGCCGTCTGAGCCCGCAGCGACCTCTTCAAGCCCCGCGCATCCACACCAGCCCGTCCAGCAATTTTGCCCTGGCGAGTTGCCTTGATCAGAGAAGTCGGGGAGCACAAAGTGGAAAAAGGATTGCGTCGCCGTTACCTTGGGAAAGGAGGGGGAGGCAGGAGGAGTAAACAGGGGACGAGGAGGACGCGGAAGAAGAGAGGATGTAAGGAGAATGTGGGGAAAGAGGAGCAGGTGGACGAGGAGGGGGAGTAGGAGGAGGAGGGGGAGGAGGAACACGAGGAGGGGGAGGAGAGGGAAGAGGATGATGATGGACGACAATGGGAAGACGATGACGGAGGCCGATGAGGGGGAGGACGACAATGGGAGGACGATGATGGAAGGACAAGGGGGGAGAGAGAGGACGAGGAAGAAGAGGAGGAGGAGGAGGAGGACGAGGTGGAGGAGGAGGATGACGATGACGATGAGGACGAGGACGAGGACGAGGAGGAGGAGGAGGAGAGCGTCATCGACAGGGAAAGTGGGGGCCACGAGGTCCGCCGGCTCGACGACGCCCGCGTCGCCCGCGCCCGCCGCCTCACTCTTATCCGCAATTGCGGGGTGCTACGTACTATTACGTGTCAGGGGCCCGTCGACCACATGTTAGTTTCCCCCCCATCAACGCTTGCACGCTTGAAAACAACTCCCCTAAACGCGTGCGCGCGCAAAAACCATATTGGACACCCCCTCTGCGCACGTATCCGCCACCGTGCCCCCTGGCACGTTGAGGCGTAGCGCTGGGCCGCGCGCATCGCCCCCTCTTCCCGAGGCCACAACCCCTCGCAAAGACGCTGCCAGCTCGGGTTCCCGAAGCCACGCGCCCTCGCAAAATACAACTGACGCGCGCCCCCGAAGCCGCCTCTAAGACGGCCCAAGATGGCTCCAAGACGGCCGACTGTGGCCTCAAGTGGGCCCAAGATGGCTTCGAGACGGCCCGAATAAGCCTCCCGCAGGACCTGCGGCGCCCTTAGCACGCCTTTCGAAAGTCCAAAACGGCGCCAAGACGGCCCCACGCCGGCACCCAAACACCCACTGTGCGGCCCAAACGAGTTCCCAGATGACACACAAGAGCCCCAAGACTCTAAGACGGCCCAAAAAGGCCTCACCATCAATATCATCATCATCATCATCATCATCATCATCATCATCATCACCACCACCACCACCACCACCATGATCATCATCATCATCATCATCATCATCATCATCATCATCATCATCATCATCATCATCATCATCATCATCATCATCATCATCATCATCATCATCATCATCATCATCATCATCCATCATCATCATCATCATCCCCTCCGAAAATCCCCCCCCCTGCTGGAACCCCTCCCCCCCCCCCTTCCCCCGGCAACCCCCCCCCCTCCCCTAACCCCCCCCCCCCCTCGAGCTCGAAAACCGGGGGGGTCACTACCGGTTCGAACCCCCCCCCCCCTCGAAAACCGGAGGGGGGGTCACTACCGGTTCGAACCACTGAGCTGTCCCACTGTTCCCACCACTGTCCCCACTGTCCCTACCACTGTCCCCACTGTACCTCTTTCCCATTGTCCCACCGCCGTCCTCGCCACCGCCTTCACCACTGTCCCCACCACCACTGTACCCTCCACTGTCCTACTGTTTCCACCACATTCCCACTGTCCCCACACCACTGTCCCCACCACCACCGTCCCCACCACTGTCCCACTGTCCCCACTGTTCCCACCATTGTCCTCACCATGTCCTCCCCACCACTACCCCCACCCCACTACCGTCCCCACCACTGTCCCCACCACTGTCCCCACCACTGTCCCGCTGTCCCCTCACCACTGTCCCCACCACCACCGTCCCCACCACTGTCCGCACCCCCCCTCGGTTTTCGAGGGGGGGGGGGGTTCGAACCGGTAGTGACCCCCCCCGGTTTTCGAGCTCGAGGGGGGGGGGGGGGGGTTCGAACCGGCAGTGACCCCCCCCCTTTTCATGATTGGGGGGGGGGGGGGAGGGGTTCGAACCGGTAGTGACCCCCCCGGTTTTCCGGAGGGGGGGGGGGGGGAGGGGTTCGAACCGGTAGTGACCCCACCCGGTTTGCCGCTAGCAGCGGTAGAAACGCTCTTTCCATCATCATCATCATCATCATCATCATCATCATCATCATCATCATCATCATCATCATCATCATCATCATCATCATCATCATCATCATCATCATCATCATCATCATCATCTCATCATCATCAGCAGCATCATCATCACCATCAACACCATCATCCCCGTTATCATCATCATTATCATCACCATCGCCATCATCATCATGATCGGTGCTGCCCCCCCTCCCC